ATTGAAACACCATTACTACCTTTATACATATTATGGTACGTATTATATAATACTAAATAAAAAACATTTTTAATAACTCGGGAAAATAATAAGCTACATAAGCTGAACTAGTACCTTGAAAACAATCACGTTGATTAAATAAAATATTGGCAACACTGGGCCAAGAACAATTACATTGACGTTGATACTAGTAAAATAAATATACAAAAAATCATCCGAGCTGAAATCTGGACCAACGGGGCCTAACTAGACAGATAAAATTGAACCTCACAAAAGTCACATTTGACATGTTGAAATGTGCTTTAAGGTGTCATTTTATCGTAACTTGCCACTCAATCTTTCACCTGGGGAGATAATTGTAGTTGGGTCCTAAAATACTATACCTCTGAACTTACTTTCCATAAGAATTATTGTTATTTTTATTATTATTCAAATACATTTTGTAATTTCTCAATTTTCCATTATTTATCAATAAAACCATGTGTGTTGGGAAGTGTCATCTTGATCACCCTAAAAATGCTAACAAAAATATTATATTAGTACTAGTTATTTGCGGATTATTAGTCTGTATTCTTATTAAAAATACATAGTTTAAACTTATATGTTAAAAATTACTATTACTAAAGTTTCTTCTTAAATTCTACCTAATCAGCTTTACTTTTCAAATGCCTTAGTACTTTCAATTTCATATTCCCCTTAATACAAAAATTTGACTCGACTCATGAGCCCAAGGAGGGTGACTAGGATGGATAATGATATTTTTTGGCTCTTTGGCATTACGCTGTCTAGATATCATATCCTTATCATATCGTGTTCTATCTGTATATTTTGTCCGAGATATACTATTATCTATAGTAACCTTATGCTCAAAATTATTCACGTTTCTATTGAAAGGACTTTTCACATACACATTTTTTAATTGGTTTTTCATCCGGTGAATCCGGTGTCCAGGAAATCGTCTTTTTCTTCTACCATTTATCGATTCAGTAAAAATTGATTTATATAGAGGCTCGTTCCTACTGGCTAGCGCCAAATCCAAGTGTTCACATTTTATTTTTGAGAGGGTATTCTGATCATCCCCAATATGTGTACTCTCTATTTGGCTAGTGAGGACACTCCGGTCATTATCTATCTGGGAATGTGCTTCAACAATAGTAAAAACATTTTCATCATATTTAATTTCTTTCGGGGGAGGTTCCAATTCATTTTCCACGTGTACAGTGGCATGATTGTCCATATTTGAAATACAGTCCTCTTCTGACATAGTTAACATATTTTCCACCTGATCCATATGAGTTTCACATGGGAGAGCGTCTTGTTGACCATATTTTATTGTATGATTGTGCTTGATTTCGCTATTATTATTCTCTTCGTTATTGTTTGGTGATTTTGTTGATTTAGTATACTTTAAATGACCTGCATGATTTTTATATGAGCCATAACTATTATTAGTTTTTCTAAAACTTGTTCTGCCTTTTGAGTTATAAAATGTATTATTAGATTTGCTGACTGACCACCTATTCCTGAAGTCTGAATTGATCTGCTTTGGTTGTTTTTCATTTCGGATATAACTGTGACAATAATAATCATTCCGAAATATGCTGACATTTGAGACTCTAAAATGTCTCTTTTAAATCATTTAATTTGTGAACTATGCTTTTTAAACTTTCAAAATTCATATTTTCTGTAACTAAAAGATAATAATATTTATTATATGATTCATGTAGACCGTTTTCAAATTGTTCTCTAAATAAATCAAAATTTACTTCACTATCAATTTCGTATGCAATCGACAATAAATCATAATAGTAATATTTTATATCTTCATTTTTACCTTGTATACGGGTACTAAATTTAGATTTTAGTTTACGGAATGGATTTTCACCACCAAACTGCTTAATAAAATCGGTTTTTAAATCCTGCCAATTTTTATTAAAATTATCCTTGTTGTTAACATATTTCTTAAACCAAACTAATGCAGCATTTTCCAGGTAACAATTTAAATATTTTATTTTAAAAGCGTGGCTCCAACCATTCTTATCGGTTATTCTGTCATATTTTTGAATGAAAGACACCGGACAGTCGAATCTAGGGTCAAAAATTAGGTGGCTGTATAAACTCAGGCAGAACAGGTGTTTTATTAAAAACATCATGAATATAGGTTTACTAATCTTTAATTTCTATTAACATTAAATATAGAATTTTTAATTAGGGTAAATAATTATCGCCCACTACATTCGACATGAAATATAATACATATTATTTTTCAAATCAAACAAATAGGAATTTTGTCTATGTAAGCACTGTTTAGATATTTTTATAACACAATTGCAGTAAATAAAATAGTAACTAAAACTTATATTTGAAAATAGAAGACAATTATGTATTTGTGCGTATGATATTTCAAAAAAAAATATTTAAATTTTAGTGATTATTCCAATAAACTAAAATAAATAAAAATGTTTGAATTAATATATTTTTCATTTTACTGTTAAAAATAGAAAGATACGTTTTTGATTTTAATATAATAATTGTTCATGATAATTGTTTATAGCAGTAAATATTTTGCAATATATTTAAAAATATTTTAGGTTTTGTGTTGGAAATTTATTACGACTCGCAAAAAAAATAGTTATTTTAGCAATTACATAAAAAATATAACCATCGTTTTGATAAAAAATACACAGAGGAAAGTTATGTATGAATGAATATTAAAAGGAATATTTCGTTCAACGATGAAACATATCTAATCGTTATTAGAGGTTAAAAAAAATAGAAATAATTGTAATAGGACATATTGCTTAAGTCGAAAAATTTGTAAATAAATTAAAATATATGTAAATAAGTGTATAAATCATCATCAAAGTAAGCGTTCAATTTACTGGTCAAAAGATAATATAAAATTTAAAAAATACATTGATTGTTGCTAAAAAAATTAAAGACTTTATTAATTTAACATTTTCATAAAAAAATAAACGCGTCTCGTTGGTATGCGAAATTGTTAAAAAAAAACCACGGCGCCACCACCACATGAGTGGTGGTGTAAAAAAAATATATTTAAGAGAACCAACTGCGCCTCCACCACATGAGTGGTGGTGTAGAAAAATATTTAAAATAACCGACGGCGCCTCCACCACATGTCGTGGTGTTGAAAAAAAACTAGAGAAATTAGTTAAAATTTGCATACAAAAAAAGGCTGTTTTGATTAAAAGAGAGACCGGCGCCTCCACCACACGTCGTGGTGGTGAAAAAAATAAAAATAATTAATTGAAAAAAAAAAAATTACAACCCTACCCGGCGCCTCCACCACATGTCGCGACCCCGTTTTAGAGGGTTGCGGCTAGGGACGTTTTAGATATCGAAGATCATTAAAACAATCAATATATATAAAAACAAAATATAAATTTATTAAAGAATTAAATACATTAATTTAGGGTAGGAGAAATGTCAAGCAGAATACTCTTTGACCAATAAAATATACTTAGAGAAAATATATAAAAATATAAACTTACTTTACTGTCATTATGATACTTGGAGAACTCAACTCAACTGAACAGCATGACTTCTTCATTCATTCTCCCCGAGAGAGCCCTCGACTCTCCTCTGATTTACTTTTTAATTATTCTCCCATATTGATATTTACAACAATAAGAATTAAACAAAGTTCACCTTCAGATCTTAGTCTGACGTCAACTTGTTCTAGTTTAATTCTTATTGTGCAAATATTATGTTTATTAAAATATATTCCATTTAATATATTGGGTGATTTATTTTAATGATAAATCTAAAATTCTTGCTCTTGACAATATATTTAATTTTATCTTTTTTAATTTTAAATTCAATATTAATTTATTCTATTATTTATTGTATACGCATATGTGGTACTAGGGAGGTTATTCCAAAGGGCTGAAACACGCCTGCGTCAATTAACCTTTGGACCACAATACACTTGATCGAAAGATCCCGCAAGAACCGCATCTATCGAAAGATCGATTCAACGTGCCAACCGCCGCCGCCGCAAATAACTTTATTTTAAATCTTCTAAAAGGTCCTACCAATTCGGTACCGTTTACTCGTGCGAGTAGTTGTTCCTGATCCAGATACAGGGTGGCCACCCAGGAGAAGACTACAACCCTCCAAGGTAAGCCGACCTCGTACCACGTGTTATTTTAGCAGGAATTTCTATTTTCTCGAGTTTATTACAATCATTTCTTTATTTCCTTTCTAAACATTGGTCCTTCGTAGCCGGATAACGCCGAATATAGCGAACTTTTGAAATTATTATTATTTTTTTTCTCTCCTATTTTATTCTTTTTTTTCGCATTTAGATTTTCTATCAATATCTATTTTCCTCCATTCATTTCTATAAAAAAGTTTATATTAACTACAGTTATATATTTCTCTAAGATTTAAATTTTCCTTTTTTTGTTTTCTCTCTTTTTAATATTATCAGCGCAAGACCGCATCGCCAGTTCCATTCCGCGCCTGTCCATTTTAGATTCCACAGATTTGCGCGATAGCCAACGGACATTCTATCGATGTAATCGATGGTCAGTAGTAATTTCGTCGTCTAAGGGAACTGTTCACCAAATCAATAATTTTACTGATAAGCATACGCACTTCAGGTTTTTTTTTGTTTGTTGTTATTTTTATGTTTATACTACGAGGGAGATTCAAATAAATAATATTATTTTGTACTTTATTTCATAATTTAGTAATTATGGCTGAACAAATACGCTTAAGAAAACTGAAAAACAATAGAAGTAATTCTATTTCAGAGATTCAATATTTATTACAGTTAGCAGAACGTACCAAAACTGATAAAACAGTTCGCAGTTTATTTAAAGTTAGATGTGCAGAACTTGATGTTCTCAAAGATGACTTTATAAAACAGCATCAAAATATTATTTCTAGTCTTGCAAATGAAGCTGACACCGATTTAGAACCAAGAAAATGTTATAAGAACAGCATTTTTTAATGATTTTTATGTCGTAAAGTCCATGTACGTAGACTTATGCGAAATTGATACTGCAAATTCGCAAAAAATATTAAATTATTCTATGAATGCTACTACTTCAGGTACTTCTAATGAACATAATTATCATATAAAACCTCCAAATTTAGATATTCCTAAATTTAATGGTGATTATAGAACTTTTTCTACATTTATCGATCTCTATAATGCTCTGATACATAATAATCCAACATTAACGCCAATAGAAAAATTTCGTTACCTTCTTTCGTTAGTCGAGGGTAAACCATTGGGTGTTGTTAGTAGCCTGCCAATGACTTCAGACAATTATCAAACCACATATGATAACTTTGTTGATCGCTACAGTAACGTAAGATTTCGAGCGCAATCGCATTGGTATGCTATTAAAACTGCCCCTAAAGCTATTCGCGACCAACCTGAATCTCTTAGAAATCTTTTGGACACATTTTCACAAAATCTCGCCTCTTTAAAAAATTTAAATTTTCCAATTGAATCTTGGGACTTCATATTAGTTAACATGTTGTTGGAACGGGTTGATGATGATTTAATAACAAGGTTTGAACTTTCGCTTGCCTCAGGCACAATACCAAAATTTAAAGAATTATTTGAATTTTTAGAAAAATGTTGTAAAACTTATGAATCTCTTAATCTTTCTTTACCTTTAATTAATAACAAAAGATCAAATAAAATTAAATCACCATTACAACCTCGTCGTACTACTTCTCTTTTGGCAAAGCAAACAAAAAATAGTAATTCCGGATCTTGTTTACTTTGTAACGAAATGCATTCGTTATATAATTGTTCAACTTTTTTAAGCAAAACTCCTCAAGAAAGGTATCAGCTTTCCAAAAGGGCACATCTATGTGTTAACTGCTTAAGTAATATTCATTCTACGCAAAATTGTAAATCAGCTATGTCTTGTCGTAAATGTAATCAACGTCATCATACTCTTTTGCATTTTTCTTCAAGTAATATAGAACGCGCCACTCATAGTCCCGAATCAGCTTTACCTTCAACTTCTCGTGAAAATAGCTTTAATAATAAACCTCACTTTTCTGGTACACCTTCTAAAACTGTATTTTCAAATCGCGATGAGAATTCTTCGTTGAATCAGAGCTTCGCTGCGACAGGCTTGTTATCTAAATCTACATCAGTTCTATTAGGAACCGCGGTTATCGAAGTATTAGATAAGTTTGGTATATATCAATCAATGCGATGCTTGCTTGATCCTGGAAGTATGACTTCATTCATAACAGAGAAGTCTGCTAATACTCTTGGTTTACCAAAGGAAAGGGGACTTTATGAAATTCAAGGTCTTGATAATATGGTTACAAACTCCGGGCAAGCTACCGTTACACTTTCATTTCGACCGCTTAATTGTCCGGAATCAGTACTTAATACTGACGCTATTGTTTTACCTAAAATTTGCGATAGCTTACCTACTGCAATTTTGCCAGCTTCTTCTTGGTCTCATCTTAGCAATTTGAAACTTGCTGATCCGAAGTTTTATGTACCTGGTCCTATTGACATTCTGCTTGGTGCTGATGTATACACAAAAATTATCCTAAACGGATGTGTTCGAGGGATTCACGGAGAACCAGATCTTTTGAACACAATTTTTGGGTATGTTCCAATGGGTAAAATAGGTACATTTTGTGAAACGTCTACTGTAACTTCATTCTTTTGTAATTCGCATAAAATTAATACTGATGATATTCTTACAAAATTTTGGGAAGTAGAGTCAGTTCCTCTTTTGCCTATGCTGTCAGATAATGATCTTTTTTGTGAAGAACATTTCTTAAAAACATACCAGAGAAATTCCGATGGAAAATTTGTAGTGCATCTACCATTCCGCGATAACTTTCCTACTTTCCCCGGTATTCGTCAACTTGCTGAACAGCGATTTCTCTCTTTAGAACGTCGTCTATTAAAAGATCAAGAATTGTATAAATCTTATTGTCAATTTATGAAAGAATATCTTGATCTGGGACATATGAAACCTGTCAGTCATGAAACTGAGTTATCTTCCGCTTCGTATTATATTCCGCATCATTGCGTTTTAAAGCCTCAAGCTAGCTCAACCAAATTGCGAGTGGTTTTCAATGGTAGTGCGAAGCTCCCGAACCAAACCTCTCTCAACGATCATTTGTTTACCGGACCCAAACTTCAAAAAGACATTGTTGAACTCTTAATTCAATTTCGCTTTCATGTGTACGTTTTATGTACAGATATTAAAATGATGTATCGCAATATATTGATCACTTCTTCTCAACATCAGTATCAGAGAATTGTTTGGAGATTTTCTCGTAATGACCCTCTTCAGGACTACGAATTAATTACTGTCGTTTATGGTTTATCGCCTTCGCCTTTCTTAGCCTTACGCGCACTTCAGCAATTAGTCCTTGATGAAGGAGCAGATTTTCCCTTAGCATCTCATGCGATTTCAAATCATACTTATGTTGATGACGTGGTTACTGGAGCCACCACTTTCAGTGAAGCTCTCGCCCTTAAAAATGAACTAATAGCTTTGTTTTCTAAAGCTGGGCTTGACCTTAGAAAATGGGCAAGTAACGATCCCAATCTACTGAGTGATCTACCTTCTGACTTTTTATCAACTACTCATATAAATTTTGATGATCCTGAATCATCATTAAAAATTTTGGGTCTTCAGTGGAATCCCACAACGGATAACTTTCATTTTCATTTTAACTCTCTTGACAGACCTTGTACTAAACGAAACATGTTGTCAGAATTAGCTCGTATTTTTGACCCGTTAGGCTTCTTAGCTCCTGTTACCTTTTTTACTAAAACTTTAATCCAAAAGTTATGGTCGTCCCATATGGATTGGGACCAACAGCCCCCTGACGAAATTATCCGTATTTGGACGCGTTACAAAAATGAAATGCACTTGTTGTCTCAAATTGACCTTCCCCGGAAGATCCTATTTTCCGAGTGTGAGAATAGATGTGAGTTGCATGGTTTTTGTGATGCGTCTGAAAAAGGTTACGCCGCAGTTGTATATCTTAGAATTTTGAGAAACAACAAAAAAATAGATGTTCATTTAGTTGCTTCAAAAACTAAAGTTGCGCCTTTAAAGAAGTTAACAATTCCCCGTCTTGAGCTCTGCGCCGCTGTTCTTCTTGCTAAATTACTCGCATATTTAGTACCCATTTTTAAAACTAAAATATCTTTAGATAAAATTATTACCTGGTCTGACTCTAATATTGTTTTATATTGGCTTCACTCTCCACCTAGTCGTTGGAAAACTTTTGTTGCTAACCGAGTACTTATATTCAAGACAAGCTCCCACACGCAACTTGGTTACACGTTAAGTCCAAGAACAACCCTGCTGATGTTGCTTCTCGAGGAATATTTCCATCAGAGTTTGTAAATTTTAGTACTTGGTTTCAAGGACCTTCTTTTCTTCATGATCCTGATGCTTTGTTAGGTTCAACCTCCGCATGCGCTACTCTAAATAGTACTTCCGAAGAAGAAAAACATACTTCTTTTTTCGCCGCTACTTCTGAAGAGATTTTAGAAGAGAGAAACTTTATTGACCTTCTTTTAGAAAAATACTCTTCTTTCGCTACTCTTCAACGTACCGTCGCTTATGTTTTACGCTTCCTTTTTAATATAAAAAATCCCCGTCAAAAAAGATCGGGTCCGCTCTTAACTGTTGAATTAAATGAATCATTTACGTGTCTTGTAAAAAGGACTCAATCGATTTGTTTCCAATCGGAATTGATTTCTAAATCTTTTCTAAACCATTACGTAAACTTAATCCTTTTATTGACGAACAAGGAATTGTTCGTGTAGGTGGTAGATTAAAACATTCAACTCTATCTTATTCTGCAAAAATATCCAATTTTACTACCTCGCTCTAGTTTACTAACACGCCATTTAATATATTACTACCATCTTAAATACCTTCATGCAGGATTGCGCACTTTGCTTTTTTACTATCTCAATCGGTTTGGATTCTTTCTCCTAAACGAGCTATAAATTCAGTAATTCATTCATGTTTAATTTGTTGGCGATCCAATCCGAAGCCTTCCAACCGCAATGGAAATTTACCGCCGTCTCGCGTTTCACAATTAAAAGCTTTCACACACACGGGGGTAGACTTTGCAGGGCCGTTCTTAATTACTATGAACAGAAATAGAGGTGCTAAAACAACTAAAGCATATATATGTTTATTTCTATGTTTTGCGACTAAAGCTATGCACTTAGAGTTAGTTAGTAGCTTGTCCACGGAAGCTTTTTTGGGCGCTCTTCAGAGATTCCTATCCCGAAGAGGTCGCTGCACAGACATATATAGTGATTGTGGAACCAATTTTGTTGGTGCTAGCAAAGAAATTAAAACTATGTTCGAATCCGCAGTTGAACATGAAAATATTCAATGGCATTTTAATCCGCCCGCTGCCCCACATTTTGGGGGACTTTGGGAAGCCGTTCAGTAAAAACGCATTTAGGTCGAGTAATCGGACAACAAGTCCTGACTTTTGAGGAATTATATACGACCCTGACCTTGATTGAAGCTGTATTAAATTCACGTCCGCTCAATCCCATCAGTTCGGACGTCGAAGACATTAATGCGCTAACCCCTGGTCATTTTTTAACTTTAGAGCCATTGAACAGTTTACCTACGCCGAACTTTACTGCTGTACCAATTAACCGTCTCTCTCTCGTTGGCAACTTTTACAACGATTGCATCGCGATTTTTGGAACAGGTGGCATAGAGGAGTATTTGCATTGCTTCAACAACGCCAGAAATGGCTTAATTCCTCTGACGCTCCTTCTCTAGGAACGTTAGTTATTATAAAAATGAAAATGCTCCTCCATGCCAATGGACTTTAGGTCGCATAATTTCGTTAAGTGAGGGGACGGATGGTGTGGTGCGGGTGGCTCTGGTGAGGACAGCTAAGGGAACTTTGCAGCGTCCTTTAGTTAAATTATGTCCTTTACCCAGCAATTAATTATCGCCATTTATTTATTTTTTTTTGCTATTACACAAAATTATCTTTATGTATTTTTTTTTCTCTTTTTATTTTTTCTTTATCTTTATCTCAATTTTTATTTTTTTTTGCATTCAAAGTTACGCATTTAAAACGCATGTTTAGAACATGCCTTTTCGCCGGGCAGAATGTTTAGGAAACTCTCAAAATATATTTAATTTTATCTCTTTTAATTTTAAATTCAATATTAATTTATTCTATTATTTATTGTATACGCATATGTGGTACTAGGGAGGTTATTCCAAAGGGCTGAAACACGCCTGCGTCAATTAACCTTTGGACCACAATACACTTGATCGAAAGATCCCGCAAGAACCGCATCTATCGAAAGATCGATTCAACGTGCTAACCGCCGCCGCCGCAAATAACTTTATTTTAAATCTTCAAAAGGTCCTACCAATTCGGTACCGTTTACTCGTGCGAGTAGTTGTTCCTGATCCAGATACAGGGTGGCCACCCAGGAGAGGACTACAACCCTCCAAGGTAAGCCGACCTCGTACCACGTGTTATTTTAGCAGGAATTTCTATTTTCTCGAGTTTATTACAATCATTTCTTTATTTCCTTTCTAAACATTAGCCATCATTATTTTTTTACTCTTCAGCAATTTTATGCCTCCTTTTTTTATAGAGATAAGGGGCCTTAACAACTTGTTTACTTTTCTTAATTGTTTCTGCTTCTGGTGGTACCAAGGATAGAGGTGGCGCTAATACTGAAAGTATCAGACAGAACACGCTCCTTAACCTGAAATGAAAAATGACTAGGTCAGAGAGTCATATATAATATCTCAATTTTTTTATATAGGGTTTAATTATATATCTGCATTTAGGAGTACCTACCTCAACATCTATATCCTGGTGTCTATTTGAATTTGACCGTAGATTGTCTGGATTTTCCGTCTCCTTGATGACATTATCAATACATGATTTACTACACTAATCTAAAGGGTTGGTACTCGCAATAAAAAATCTTAAGACATTAGCCATCATTATTTTTTTACTCTTGGCAGCAATTTTATGCCTCCATTTTTTTTATAGAGATAAGGGGCCTTAACAACTTGTTTACTTTTCTTAATTGCTTCTGCTGCTGGTGGTACCAAGGATAGAGGTGGCGCTAATACTGAAAGTATCAGACAGACCAGGCTCCTTAATCTGAAATGAAAAATGACTAGGTCAGAGAGTCGTATATAATATCTCAATTTTTTTATATAGGGTTTAATTATATATCTGCATTTAGGAGTACCTAACTCAAAATCTATATCCTGGTGTCTATTTTAATGGTGCATTGTTCTAGAGGCTTTTTTTATTTCAATGATTATTGAATATAAAAAGATGTACCATTTTTGGTTAACTATTCGACTATATCTTGTTTTAAGGACGATTTTGTGGGCACTTTATCAGGTAAAATCGGGTGATAAGGAGCATTATCCAAAACAATGACGCTGTTGGGCGGAATGTTAGGGAAAAGCTTTTCATTCATCTAGTGAAGTTCTATTAGTTCATTTGGCCATGGTAATCGCCAGAACTCTGCCCCGTTTAAAAAACCAATCCAGCGTGTTCTACGAAACCGTCTTTCGACTCAGCATGTACCACGATAAGTCGACCTAATTGTGGTAAAATATAAATTCCATCTTAACAAATGTTACCTAGTTTTACCAACTTGTCGATCTAATATTGCTAGGTACCCTAAAAACATCACTACTTTGCAGAGATAACTAGAGACGCCTAAGCCAATGAGTCAACGGGGATCGCCTAAACTGCACTGATTGACTGTAGCGAGAAAGGAAAAGATGTCGCTGTCGACATCCGGCAATATTTAAAAATTTAATTCATTTTATTTACTTTCCAATGATAAAAAAATATATGCATGAAATAATTTAGTAAGTATAGCAATAGTATTCACGTGTCAATAATATGTTAGAATAAAGTAATATCACAATAATCAAAGTAGTGAAAGAAGAACAAAAAAAAGATATATTAGATATGGAATAAAGCACTGAATGTAACATTATTACACATCCATGAGACTAAAAAACTGAAACTTCCACTACATATTTCTTTCCTTCATTTGGAAGATCAGGAGGATCAGGATTGATTAACATTTAATTGTTTTCAGTCAGTTCCTGTTTCACCGGAAATGACTACAACTTTTGATTTTTAAATGGACCCTCTGTATTGCCTTATTCGATAGAAAATGACACTCTGAATACAATGACATATCATGTCAACTTTCGACATTCCCGCTTTAAAAAAAATCGTATTTTAAATCTCATTCTAGAATGCCATGGTTTGTGATCTATATATCCCACATTTATGAGCGATACAGAATGTGAACTTCTATGATTACTATCCATGTCTCCAATAATACCTTGGAAAATTTCAACCTATATATTTTTTTGAAACACTAGGTCTACCCTGTACACAACTTAAATGATAGAAAATATATTAATACTAAATACTTAATAATCTAGCTAAATCTTAATACCTGTTTTATTTAAATCCTGTGTAGTAGTATCACAGATTTTAGAGTCGGAATAGAGTTAGGACTCTTCTCTAGTCTAGTCTTCTCTGAACCAAATTATACTAACAATCATCTGTGATATGATCCTTCAGAAGACAAACAGAAGACAAACTCATAGCATGTACTTCATTCCCAACGATTCTTACCATTTTTTCGATCTATTAAATACATAAATATTACAACTATTTTACTTGCATTTCGGTTAAATGAATTATAGTTTATTCTTAGCAGTGTTAATATTAATAAAAAATCATTTCAATTTTTAAAATTAAAGTAAACTTAGATTTTTAATCTGTCGGCGGAGAGAATAGTGGTATTTCCATTGCTATAAAATAGGCTCTTCAATATACATATTTATGTGCTTACCTTTCAGCTTTTTGGTGAGAAATTATGCTTTTTGGGCTACTTCATCAAAGGGGCTTCAAGTTTTTGGCTCAAATATATTTGCCGCCATGATGCTTTTATAATCAGACAATCGTGCAGACAATACATGGAAAAACAAAAATAAGCGTAATTTTTACGTTGATAAGGATCATCTATAATCAATGACTAGAATCAAAAACACTCTGATATAACGTTTATTTACACCTCAATGTAATTCGCACAAATAAAACACTTGTTTTTACTATAAATCCCTAAGAAATTGGAAAATAAACAATCCAAATTCTTTAGTCATTGAGGGGAAAAGCGCACCATACACCATTCTCGCTACCAAGGATGACCATATTGAAAATGTAAAAAATGTGTGTGTGTGTGTGTGTGAGCAGAACTAATTCTCATAATGAAGTTGGCCGTCTCTGGTTGTCTCTGCTACTTTGCCAACATTTCTTGATTCTCAAATCATTGTCAATCCAAATA